CTTCTTTTTTTTCACAACATCGCTCAGCAGACGTTGAACACAAGTCCCTAATCACCCAATGGAAACTATAAGGACCTGCTTGTAAACCGATTGGCGAGGAGCATTTCAGGTAAAACTTGTAGTAAGACTTATCATTCAGCCCGTCCTCCCAATAGAACGTGACATTTTGACGTCAACTCTTCCTAAGTTACGAAACGTTTTAGAGTAAGATTGACCACCCAGATACAGAGGGCAAAATATATCTATCTCATTATCATAAATTATTCACATTCTGAATATTATATAGGATTTTGAAACATAAATAATTCCTCCGAGCAACAATCTTGATAGTAGTAACATCTAAGTCAAGCTAACACATTGTACACATACTGACTTGCCGTCAGAGAAAATAATAGACTATAATTGTGTAAATGTATTATTGAGTAATAGACTTCACTTGTGACAGAAGACATAGTTTGGGGAATTATTCACAGGATATAAATAAATTTGATAACGCGAATTATCTCTTTATCTGAGTCCGTTATGTAGTTAGTGCATCAGTGATTGTTTGTTTAACGTCATGGTTCCCATAGTCTGGGCTGGTAGTTGCCCCCCTACCCCAGCCCCCACCCCCTTCCCAGGTCAATTCCTGACCGTCCACTCAGTAATACATCTAAACTACTGGGACAGACTACAGAGCCTAAATCTCTTGAGCGCAGGCGAGAGAGATACATAATAATTTATACGTGGAAAATATTAGAGAGGCTGGTCCCAAAGCTGCACACAGAAATAACACCTCATGAGACCAGGAGACATGGCAGGATGTGCAGAATACCCCCGTTGAAAAGCAGAGGTGCAACAGGAACTCTAAGAGAGAACTCTATCAACATCAGAGGCCCGAGACTGTTCAACACGCTTCCACTACACTTAAGGGGCATAACTGGCCGACCCCTCACAGTGTTCAAGAGAGAACTTGATAAACACCTCCAAAGGATACCTGATCAACCAGGCTGTGATTCATACGTCAGGCTGCGAGCAGCCGCGTCCAACAGCCTGGTTGACCAGTCCAGCAACGAGGAGGCCTGGTCGACGACCGGACCGCGGGGACGCTAAGCCCCGGAAACACTTCAAGGTAACAAGGTAACTCCACAGGATGCGATCCACGCCAGTTGTCTAACTCCCGGGTATGTATTTCCTACTAGGTGAGCAGGGCATCAGGTCAAATGAAACATTACCCAAACGCTTCTGTCCTACTGCTGGAATCTAACTTTGGACTTTTCGGTTGTGACGACTGCGCTTAATTGTGTGTTAAATTTCTACACCAAATTAAATTTAAATTTATATGTTTATATTTTAAATATAACTATATTTATAAATATAAAAGCATATATATATATATATATATATATATATATATATATATATATATATATATATATATATATATATATATATATATATATATATATATATATATATATATATATATATATTGTGACGATAATCTCTTTCAAGAGAGATTGAGCCTGCTCTTCCCTCCAAAGTACGTCACATCAACAAATAATATAGAAGATATATCCAACAAGTATCTCCAAAACGTTTTGCCCAGAGAGCAAAACGTATCCAGCATACCTGCTCGCCCCGCCACCGTTAACCGGCAAACTGCTTGTCCATCGCCTGCCGGTCGCTGATTGGCTGGTGTCCAGTCGCACCTGCCCCACCACCCTCCACCATGAGTTGATGTCTGGGCTACAGCGACCCAGAGAAGGCAGAATATCCTAGTGCTCCTTGCAGTTGACACGTCTCATTGGTAGACTAAGCCTTGGCTTACGTGTACTAAGGGAGGTGGCAGCTCGAAGCCAATATTCCGGCATCACTATTATATATTTTGCTATTACTCACTTGTCTTAACGTAACTTTTCATTTGCCAGTGATTATTCTTATTATTTTGTTTGTTGACTTGTCTGTTACATTTTTATGCTCCATTTTATTCATGTCTTGTTTTTCTAACGTAATTAAAATTTCATTGTTAAATTTACTTGTGTTTTGTGTGGCTTCCCATTACCTTACCACAGACGAAAGTTCCAGCTTTTCTCTTTTTTTTTCTTTATGTGACGAGGCCATGCCCCTAGCTTTTGAAACAGCCGAACACCAACGCTTTACCGTCACAATATATATATATATATATATATATATATATATATATATATATATATATATATATATATATATATATATATATATATATATATATATATATATATATATGTCGTACCTAATAGCCAGAACGCACTTCTCAGCCTACTATTCAAGGCCCGATTTGCCTAATAAGCCAAGTTTTCATGAATTAATGTTTTTTCGTCTACCTAACCTACCTAACCTAACCTAACCTAGCTTTTTTGGCTACCTAACCTAACCTTACCTATAAATATAGGTTAGGTTAGGTTAGGTAGGGTTGGTTAGGTTCGGTCATATATCTACGTTAATTTTAACTCCAATAAAAAAAAATTGACCTCATACATAGAGAAAAGGGTTGCTTTATCATTTCATAAGAAAAAAATTATAGTAAATATATTAATTCAGGAAAACTTGGCTTATTAGGCAAATCGGGCCTTGAATAGTAGGCTGAGAAGTGAGTTCTGGCTACTAGGTACGACATATATATATATATATATATATATATATATATATATATATATATATATATATATATATATATATATATATATATATATTTATTATTATTATTATTATTAAGTTTATACAAAATTACAGTACATTATTTACCTAAATCATAATAACAGCATAATATGTAATAATTACACTTATATTCTGTATAATGTTGAGTGGTATACCAGTAACTATCTTATCACAGTGTTGCGGCAGGTGCTTGATATAATATAGTTGAAGCAACGATGGCGCTTCAGTAGCCTCACCTGCCATTGCGTGTTTTCTGTTAATGCTAACCTCCACCGCCCTCAAATATAACCACAGACACCATGTGCATGTTGGAATATATCTAACACATAAACCACGATTCCTCTTAATACGTTCTCGATGAAATTATTTCAACCACATGGGAATTATGTGGGGAAAATAAAATATGCATCTCTCGAATTATCATGGGTGTTAGAACTTTTACTTTTAAAGCCTATAACTCCCTAGCTATCGCAATGTTTTAAAATTGAGTCCGGGGGCCCCAAACACAATTATAAGATATTAGATGAGGTATCTGATGCTTGGGTTGACCAAGCATTATTTCACTTAAAAAAATAGAGAAATTGAAAGATAAATAACGATAATAAACGGGAACATTTATCCCCGTGCTGCACCCCAACTTATAATAATAATAATAATAATAATAATAATAATAATAATAATAATAATAATAATAATAATAATAAATAATAAGTAATGGTAGTGTCTTCTTAGACAAAATAACGTAGGATAAAAACCCACACTTGTGTATTTGTGAAATTTATGTAAAGAATTTACACCAAGCCTTTCGCACTCTCCTGAGTGCTTTGTCAAGATCTGAGTGTGTGGTTTGGATGAGACACATCTCAACGTGTAATATGATTAGATGTCTAATTGATTAGACGTTGAGATGTAAGTCTCGTTCTAATCACTCACTCAGACCTTGACAAAGCACTCAGGAGTGTACGAAAGGCTTGGTGTAAATTCTTTATACAAATTTCACAAATACACAAGTGTGGGTTTTATCCAATTATAATACTAATATATCAACACATGCCGAAACACGGCTGGTGATTGAGCTGTGAACATATATTTTTTGTCCCTACATTAGTGCATAATGATTTACGATACTGAAAGAAAGAATAACTGTTTTGATGTTTTTTCTGCATAATTCTAGTACAATGGTCACCACCAGCTTCATGGCTTACCATAGGAATCGGCCATATTTTAAATGGCCAAAGGAGACGACCTCGACCCATTCATGTTGGTCAGCTACCTTTCAGCAATCACATTGCAAAGTTGGGTTAGGCTAGCCCCAAGCGTCTGTCCTCCAGCCTCATACAGACATTTTTATAGATATACCTTGGGGATGTTTTATACGGAAACTTTGCCTTAGTTTCTTTACTGATTTATTTACAAGGCAGTACATCGGGTTGTGAGAGTACATAACATCGGTGACTGAGTGTTACATTCTTGCAAAGCCACTAACACGCATAGCATTTCGGGCAAGTCCTTAAGCTAATCCATAAATGCAGAAAAATGTACATTATAACAGCATTTGAAGTCAACATAATAACTAAATTATTAATTGACAGAATAGATCATATTGATGAAGTTGCATTTCTTTAGTAATAAAGTGGATGGCGGAAGATATTGTGTGAGTTAGCAGCACAAGGTGATGAAATTAGATGCTTTTTTGTTCTAATTTTAAGTAAAGCATAGTTTGGCCAATTTTTTTTATTCATTAGGGAGTGAGTTCCATTCACTGGGTCCTTTTATTTGAAAGAGTGTTTGCGCAGGTTTAGTCTGACTAGGAATATCTAACAGATATTCATTTCTGGTGAGTTGCCCATGGGTTTTGTTACGTCTAACAAGGAAGAGGTTCAAATCAGGATTAGAATCTAGGAATAAAGTTTTGTACATTTAAAATACGTGTAAGTTTAGCTTGTTCTGGGATTTAAACAGAGGGGCTGTGTGTTGTCTGAAAACATAGTTTGTTATAATTCTGATAATAGATTTGTACTGAGGTGATGATGGACTTGAGGAAGTTTGCAGTAGTTGAACCGTATGTTAGATAATGTTGAACCATCGAAGAGTGTCAAGTACATATAAAATGTACAGTATCACTGATTACTTGGTTTAACTCTTACCAACACAGGAAAGGATGGGAACTATCAGGGGGGAGAGCGTCAAGCCATTACGACTATATAGCACTTTTCTAATCTCAATGAGTATAACATTAGTGACGGAGGTAGAGGGTGTGTTTGTGTGAGATCCACGAGAGCAAAACAGGTGGCAACAAGGTCGGCTGCAACTTGTGTGTCTGTATATATACACTTTGCCAGCGCTGTGCAGTGCTACTGTGCAACAGCTGACGTGTGCACAGCAGCGGGTGTCACACCAGTGGTGCAGAAGCCTTAAACCAGCAGCCATGAGGACTGCGGTGCTTATGTTAGCCTTCTTGTGGTGCGTCTCAGCCCAAGGTAACCACCAGAATGTGGCGCCACCACAGTCAGCACCACACCTACATACAGTCCTGGCATAGATCAAGTCTCAAGATTTAAAGGCTTATCGACTGCCAGGATCGTTACGAATAGTCTTACCTTATATCTAACTCTCAAGTATATTTTAATTGTGGGAAAATCCTAGCAGGATTTATTTCTTTTTCTTTTTATGAATATTATTTACTCTATTTTATTGTTTAAATGACTTTAATATTTTATTATTTTTCTTCTGAGTTACTTCTTAGTTAGTGGGCTGTATTTTCTGATGTATATTCCGATTCAGCTTGCTAGAACTTATTGTTGTTGTTGTTGTTGAGTTAGGGGCGACGACGATCGTGGGATCGGATGCGCCCCGGCGTTGCTAGAACTTATGTCACACAATGGGAGGCACAAATGCAACTTGCACCACCTTATGAAAATGGTGCAAGTTGTACTTTTTTACCTTATTGTTACAAACTATAAATTATAAATCATACCACATATGGTGGTCTAATCTACAATTCTTATAACTAATTTAATTATGTATACTACTCTATCTACAGTATTAAAGAACATGTAGGCCTTAGCTGATACTGTAGGTGGGGCCTGCTAAGGCTGGCATTCTCCAAACATCTGCTAAGGGTGTGGCTACATGTACTCAGTGTGCATAAAATGACTGCCTGGGCATGCCAGTAGCTTGATATACACAGTTATGTTGGGGGCCAGCTCAGCTTGCAACAGTAACTTCCCTCACAATTACCTGATTGGGATGTTTAGAATTAGTGGTTGTACATTAACATATAAAGTACAGGTATGACATGAATAAGGCGGGGGGGAGTGTATAATGCTGAGTACGTACTTGTTTGGGATATAAATCCCACAGTATAACCGCCTAACCTATTGAAGGATAAAAATGGCCAAATTTATACAATGAATACTTGGTAAGACGGATACTCTGGTATTGCTGTGGTTGTTGCTCGCTTGTTGACACATAATCTGGGAGTCTTAACGAGTTTTACCGGCTCATAAGCAGCCACCTCTACAGCGTCTACTTTGTTATGATTCAGTGGCGTACGCTGCCTCCCTCCTTGTTCCAATGTTTTGGTACTACTTCTGGGTTTTATTTAACAGTAACAAGGGAGTCAGGCTATACTTCTTGGTGTTGTTAATTAAATTCAGTCCTAGTGAACACTTTTTTATTAAGTTTAAACACTAGACTGTTGTTTAAAAGAAATAAGAGTTTAATAGAGTATATTACGTCTGTTGGTTCACGTCACGGAATACCCATTCTCTGATTTCTTTATGGGGTAACTGTATTATTTTGTGTGTCGGATTTCCGACATTAATCTTTAAAATTTTAAAATTTAAATTTGCTTCACGTCAATTGTAAAGTAAGTAGTTACATGGATGTTGTCATCTCTTAAATCACAGAATTATTGCCAACAGATGAATGCAACTCTCGCGAGATGCAAGGTGGAATCGTGTGCGTGTGTGACGCCTCCTACTGTGACCAGCCCGGCATCATTGACTTCCCTGAAGAAGGCAGCTTCACCGTCGTCACTTCCAATCAGGAGGGTCTTAGGTTCAACGTGGAGACCTTTGCTGTCTCAGGCGAAGAAATCCCAGGCGAGTGGCAGAATTGGTCTTGTGTTATGGCCTTTTAACCACTGGACAGTTATCAAAGCCAGCACAATATTTTTCTTCCCAACCAGCAAGTTTATGTAGTCTTGATTGAAGTTCAAGATCAAATGAAACTTTCAGTGCATATAAATTACATATTTGGGGAAGATTAATATTAGATAATCTTGCCTCAGAGTGACAACACTACAAAAAATAAGCTGAGTTCTAAGAGTAATTGACCAACTGGTACAATTTGGCTCGATGAAGCTAAAAATATTATCACAGGGCAAAATTCCTTGATATGTTTCTAAATTCGCAACCTGACTTAGTGCTTTTCCCTGATAGTTACCTTACCTTCCCCTAGTCATAGTGGCTTTGTTTGCATACTGAGCAGTTTACGAGCGTGGAAACTTCACCTCCCATGGTTATTACTGTCATAAGGAACCTCCTGGGGCTTCGGAGCTCACAAACTGTTTAATAAATGTAAACAAAACTGCCATCATTGAGGAAAGATGCACAGATTTCGCAAGTTGTTGGGTAAATGCTTGATGAATTCCAGCACACGGGGAGAGCCCTAAGCTTAAAGAAAAGGAGGTTTCACTAAGTAACAGACATCTGAGTCTGTATTCCCGCACTGATGGAACTGTTGTTTAACAGCAAACCAAAGAAATATAGATTTGTATTAGTCTGGCACACATACTTACTGAGAACGTCATCAGGTGCTGTGGTGGTAACAGTGAACCCCGACGATGTCTACCAGACGATGCTAGGCTTCGGCGGCGCCTTCACCGACGCCGCGGGCCAGGGTGTGGTTACTCTCGCCCCCGAAGCCCAGGAGAACTTCCTCAGGTAAGGCTGGACGGATTCAAGTCACATCATACACATGGCGAATCTTTTTTTAACACATTTAGGTACATCTGCATTTGTGCAGCTACCTAGACTATATGAAGGGGGAGTACAGCATGTCAAAAGCTTGCTACGTGATGCAAAAATTCCCATCACACAGGATGGTTAGTCATACAAAGGCTTGTGATAAGTAGTCTGCACTGTCAAACTCTGGGTGCATTGTGAAGCTATCATGAACACAAGAGTGAATAAGGTAGCAGTGATACTAAAAGTCCCCATCTCGCAGGATGATTAGTCATACAGGGCCATACGTTCAGTAGCCTGCACTGACAAATATTGGGTGCAATATGAGGATATCCTCAAGAACGTCAGAGTGAATCAAGTAATTGCAAAGCTCCAGGTACCTAATGCCAACGGGTCTGAGCTCGCCAGTGGATTTTTAAACTTACCCTAACCTAGCTCAACCCAACCTAATCTAACCTAACCCAATTTAGCCAACTGAACCCAGTACATCCTAACCTAAGTTAATACAGCCTAGCTTAATGATATATATACGCTTTTAATGAGCAGAAAACGAGCTTCGTCAAATCTTCTCGTGTCTGAAACAACCAGTGCTCTGCTGGACAAACCGATTTTCAGGAGAACATTCTTGGGCATGGCTGGATGAACAGAGGCCCAGGAGTACTTCCTTAGGCAAGGATGAATGAACCTATGCCTAAGGAGTACTCCTTGTACTTGCTGTACCATTAGATATTTTGAAAATCAAGTGTCCAAATGTACAGCAATTTGTCCATAATTATGCAACCTACTATAGCTGTTGGTCTGTGTGTATATATATATATATATATATATATATATATATATATATATATATATATATATATATATATATATATATATATATATATATATATATATGACCTGCTGTTATTAACTAGCACGTAAATTATAACAATTTGTGAAAACAACTACGATTTGCGGCGTCCCTGTCTTTGTTATAAAAATGACTTTATAGGATCTGAATAAGTACCAAGACACAAGTATAACCTTATATATACGGATTTACATAAATTCTTAGCTTTATTCCTTGTCTAAATAACAATATTCGGGAAATTAAGCAATTTGATGTTACAATCCATTTGCAAATTGATTGATGTCACTGTTTGTTGCAAAACTATTAATTTTCTTGTTAAATATGGAAGTGAATTTTGTTTCTAAGATATAGAAACGTGCTGGCATATACTGTCCGAGTTTCCACTACTGCTGACCGCTACGTCAAATAGGCACCGGTGCCTATTTTCTATGGATGTGGGTCACTTGTACACAAGACGGTTCACCAACAGATTTTAAACCTAATAAACCCTAATCTAATCAAATCTAACATGAGTCTAAAGTAATGCCATATGCAATTTGAACTATGTAAAAACGTACCTTTTGTATATGCCCAACAGTGTCGTACAGCCGCCAACCAAGGAACGTTTAAAGAAATAGTTGATTGTATTAGGAACACAGCGCTAATTTTCTCTTGTGTAGGATAGAGCACAACGTAAGACACTCTCACTTATCAGTGTTCAAGCATCTGCACCCTCACCTTATTGTACAGTGGTTATGAAAACTTAACTAAATATTCAAAGTCCACTTTTACTTCTGTTCTCAATGACGGCTTTCTCCTCTCTCTTCCTGTTAAACCGTTGTGCAGGAAAAATTTATTTCAGTTAAAAATTAACAATTTATACAATATGAAAAATATGCATTCACTTTATTACATTTGTTAAAACAAAACAAAAACCTAAATGGTAAAACAAGAAAATGCAGTTACAAATATTGCAAGTATTATTATTTACGCAAAGTAGAGTCATATTGTTTTAGAGCGTTCTCCTCATTATTGCCTTACTTGATGATTGCATTATTAAACAACAAACATTCAGTAGTTATCACAGAATGACCTATTGCTCTCACTTGTTAGGAAACATGTTCTCCTCTTTACACAGTTTAATGTGCCTCATCGTGTATATCCGTAGATCCTACTTCAGTGCAGAGGGCAACGCGTACAGCATCGGTCGCATTCCTATTGCTGGCGCCGACTGTTCCGCCAGGACCTACTCCTACGACGACGTGGAGGGAGATATTGACCTCGAACACTGGAGTCTGCAAGAGGAAGACTACAATTATAAGGTGAAAAATCACAGACAACAACTCTTGTGTCAGTTCTTTTATACCAAGTTTGTCATTAGTCTGTTCGTTATCTTGCGTCTTATGATTTGTGAAGGCTGCATGCTGGACCACTTTCCGTGAGTGATTTGTCGGTAGAACAGATGGGTTCGTTCTCGATTCCGAATTGGGAATCCCGGGTTCCAATCCCGGACAGGAACTCAGGAGTAGAATCCCTGACAGATAGTAATAGTTGCGCACGTTCCCTTCCTAATGCGTTTGTTAACCAAGCAGTATATAGGTACCTGGAGAGAGAAGAGAGCTCTCTAGAGAAAACGCCAAGCATAAGAACTATGTAGCATTTGGAAGGGATCAAGATAAGGATTTGGGATGTGATGTGGGAATATTTGACTCAAATATATTAATCAAATAATCATGTATTCGATAGCTGTAAAGGACCACCACTTTTTGTGAAAAAGTGGGAAACTAAAAGGAGCAAATATATTGAAATTAAATCCACGAACTAGGGCCTATGGATTTTAAGACTGTATATTATAATTAAACAAACTCACTCGCACAAATGGGGGGTATAGGCGCTATCAAAATAATGCGTTACTAGCGCAATCATCCGATGCTGGTTCTTCATCAGAGTAGAACATAGATATGAAAATATATTATTATACAAAGAAATAAATGCGAATTAAGTTCATCACGCCATTAAGATATGAAGAATATCTGTAAACATTAAATGGCTAATAAATGGTTGTTAAATGAAAACAAAGATCTTGTTTGGAAGATCAATAATGCAATAATAGTTAGTACTACAAACTAATAGAGATAACTTAGCTGTGTGGGTGAGATAGGAGTGCGAATGAAAGGGGTTGCATCACTAGGCTTTTCTGAGAATGCGGTCCTGGATCACATGTGGAAGAATAAGGCTTATCTTCTCTCGGGTCACTCTGACACAAGCTGAAATTATAATGGATTTGTAAAAACTGTCTAATTTGAGATTATATTCTCTATCTCTAATTAAATGTTAGAGCGGAATCTAGAATGGGGCTTACTTTTTTGGTAAGAGGAAACACGCGTCATAATGATGAGCAAGTTTACACGTTTGTCATAAAGAGCTCAATAAGAATCAAACTATGCAACTTAACCACTTTGGTGCTCACCGAAACGATCATCTGATCATTATTGGTGTCACTGCGGTACCCAGACACTCGCTGCTGCCTGAGTGTCCTCTGTATGGTCCGTCACACTACGTGCTCCATGCACCTTTGATCAGTAAGATGGCCGCCTCTTGATGTAATCTGGGCTCTCCTCTCCTCCCTCTCCTCAGTCTCATCAACGCATGCACAAAAGCACATTGAAGTAAAACAGAGAACTCTTCTCTTAATGATCACTCTATTTCGTGAGACAATAAGGCTGAGTTTGATAATATAAAGAGGTGATGTTATATATATTCTCGTCATATAATAATTAATATGAACTGAGTTCATATAGACGAGAAGTGGAGGTAGAATTTCATTCCTCCATGTTAACTCTGGGATAACAAAGATTACTGTTATCTTGTGATCTTCTGCTAATAATGCGAATTAATGTGATCACTGGTTTATGTAGTATCAGTCAATAATTCTAAGCAAAGAATACTAACACATAGTGAGAATAGAATTTAATTCTCTGGTACGTAGAGATTATCTTTCCCTATGCTAAAGACTGGACGCAATTCACATTCCACGCCGTGAAGTACAAATATTCGGTAAATTAATTGCGCAGTAGGAATGGAACTAATATGATTATTCTACAAGTTAGTAATATTAGTAAATTACTATGATTAATACAAGAATCATGTATTAGAATATTAAAAGGAAAAATAAATGTTGGATATTTCCAACATAACTCTTGGGGGGGGGAACACTCGAGTCGCAGTTCAGGTCTTAGTACTGAAGTACTTGTCTCTCTACCTTGAAGTTATATTCATGGTTTAGTATGTTAGTACATTAGTACGCACATAACAGATGTCCCGAATCTGTAGCACAGATATCATACAGTCTCCGTGGTGTAGTGGTAAGACACTCGCCTGGCGTTCCGCGAGCGCTATGTCATGGGTTCGTATCCTGGCCGGGGAGGATTTACTGGGCGCAATTCCTTAACTGTAACCTCTGTTTAACGCAACAGTAAAATGTGTACTTGGATGAAAAAACGATTCTTCGCGGCAGGGGATCGCATTGCAGGGACCATAGGATTAAGGATTTGCCCGAAACGCTACGCGTACTAGTGGCTGTACAAGAATGTAACAACTCTTGTATATATCTCAAAAAAAAAAAAAAAAAAAATATGAGAGTCATTATGGGAACATAAATTCCCATAATGACTTTTATGGGAATTTAAATTCCCATAATGATTATAGATGGCTTAATCATTCAATATTGAAAATATTGAATGATTAAGCCATATATAATCAATAACTTTCTAAAGCCTACAGTAAACCCAATGACCAAGGTCACAATGACGTGTAATGGATGAATTACCTAGTCACTGATTGGTGCTGCAAACTTAGGAATATTCTCAAGAACAGATGGTTATGATCAGTAATGAGATAAAGATGAAGAAATGAAAGAAATGAAAATATTAATTATTAGGTCATTCGAGATCAAAAAGAATTCGATACTACAGTGAGGTTACTGTCTAGAGTCATTGTGACTTGTAACTGTTCAGTTACTGGACATCAACCCATTGCTGTATCACCATGATCACCTTAAACTCAAATGATGAATTCTCTGCACTTAGGCAGAATCAAAGTTTTGCTTGAGTTTCAGCTTACATTGCTGAGCAGCAACTCTAGTTGGTCTTGTGCTCTGTTGGACAGAATCACTGTCCTCTGAAACTTGGGGTATAGGTACCTCTGTAGAACATTCATGTTCCGCTAATTCCAGAGGTACTAATTTTTCTAGTTTTTAATGTAGTAGTGCCTCAACACTGAACCTTAACTATTTGTAATATACCTTGGCGATCAGGATGAATATCAACAATTTTGCCTATAGGCCAATCTGACCTGGGTCCATTACTGTCTACTAGGAGTAGATCACCTGGTTTGAGCTGAACCTTATTATATGGGCTTGCAGCTCCATAATGATACTCTCTCAGAACAGTGAGATATTCACGAGTCCACAATTCATTCCATTTTTCTATTACTTTCGTAAGATGTTTGTAACTTTCCACTAAGTTACTTGCTCTAATACATGAAGGGTCAGCTGGATCCTCGTCTGCTAGAGATATTAGAGGACTCAGAAGACTACCATTAATTAGATGAGAGGCACTCTGGGGTTTTCTCTGGGAGTAGTCATCTGAAAGATAGGTTAATAGTCTGTTGTTGACTCGTGCCTCAATTTCGGTGATAAGGGTTTGCAACTCGGTAAGGCTAATTTTCTGTCTGTGTAGAGGTTTTCTTAAGCATTTTTTAACAGTTCCTACCATACGCTCATAAAAGCCGCCATACCATGGTGCTCGTGGAGGTATAAATTTCCAGTGGCACTGTCTCTGTTTGACCACTGAATGCACCTCTGGATGGTTCCATATTTCTCGTAAGCATGCTTCTCCTCCCACAAAATTAGATCCATTATCAGAGATCATCAATTTGGGGCAAGATCTGCATACAGCAAACCTGCAAAAGGCTTGGAGGAAAGCTTCTGCACTCATGTCAAAAGTTACTTCTAAGTGTACGCCTCGTGTGATTGCATACGTGAAGAGGCAAATATAGGCTCTCACCGGAATTTTATCTGGAGTGCCTGTTAAAATAAGTGCTCCTGTGTAATCGACACCTGTGGTCTCAAGAGTACAAAGGTGGACAACTCAGATGGACAAAGGTGAACCACAAAGGTGGTTCTTTAGGAAGTGGTGGAGGTCCTGGATAAGGATGCACTGGAGATTACACCTCCAGACATTACAGATTATACCTTCTGCAGATTACATAAGACTTAATTAGGGATTTGACGATTTGGCGTCCTTAAGGAAGCCAGAATTTCTGTCTAAGATCAGAAAGAGTATCTAATACTACCACATCTCGGTTTTAAATAATTGTTATAGAGTTAAACCTCTGGATAAATAGTCAGCTGGATTGTCCTTGGTGGGGACATGTCTTAATTTATAACCAGCAGACAGTTCTCGACTTTCCCTGACTCAGTTGCTGAAGTAGAGAGTTTTGTTGTTGTTGTTTTTTACCCACCGCAAGACCGCTTCATTGTCTGACCACACTACTATATCACCAAAGTGAATATTACTGAGTGTTTTGATCAGGCAATGAGCCACCCTTACATCTACTGATAAGGCCGTTAATTCTATTTGGGGTAATGACCTCTTTTTAATTGGGGTTACCCGCGCCTTAGATGTAAGCAAAAGTTATTGTCGAGTGTTGACTAGATAGGCTACTGTGCCATACACTTTGCCTGAGGCATCACAGAACACATGTAAATTTGTGGGTAAATTTAGTCCTGAGGCATTGCGTGAAAGTTTCAGAATACTGAGTTTACTATAATCTGGAATTAATTGTTGCCATTTGTCTTGGAGATCATTTGGCAGTGGTTCATCCCAACCCATATTAATTTGCCAGCACTCCTGCATGAGGAGTTTGCCCATAATTAAAATAGAACTAAGTAGGCCTAAAGGGTCAAATGGTTTACTGACATGTGAGAGTAAGTTTCTCATGGTTAGGGGGAATCATTGATTTCCACCGACTTAAAATTTAATTCGTCCGTGGAAGTATTCCATTCCATGCCTAAAACTTTCAATTTATTTGGTACTTTATAATCGAGAAATTCTCTCTCAATTATATGATTCAATTGTTTATTATTTGAGGCCCACGACTGTAAGGGCATATTGGCTCCTAATAGTTCACAGTTAGCCTCATAATAAATTTCAATTAATTTGTTTTCATAATTAGTGGTTCCCTGGAAATTATCGACGTACAGGTTGTTGCTAGTCTCAGCCTTGTAGGAGCTATTAAATTTCTTCAGATGAGTATCCAAGGTGGCTTGGAGTAAGAATGGTTAAGAAGTTACCCCGAACAGAACTGACGCGAACCTATAAGTGATGACGTCACTATTAGGATCCTGTGGATCCTCTACACAGAGAAATTGAGTAAAGTCACGATCTTCCTCTTGAAAGCCTACTCTTAAAAAGGCTTTACTGATGTCAGCCGTATAGGCAAAAATGCCGAAACTAAATCTTAGCAAAACATCTTGTAGTCTTTGGGTTAGACTAGGTCCAGTTTGTAGACAATCATTTAATGACACGCTACCTGCCTTTATTTTGGCACTGCAGTTGAACACAATTCTAATCAGTGTCGTCACTGAATTATTCCTGTCAGCATGATGTGATAAAAAATGGCCTAATTTATGGTTGTCTTGATCAACAACTTCTATAAGTTTGTTGGCAAGTTGTTGCTGTATCAATTCATGAAACAGTTGTAATTTGTCAGACTTCTTCTGTAGCCTAACTAACTGTGATTTTAATTGAGTTGATGCCAAAAAATCAATTTACAGGAAGCTGTGGGTGGTTCAGCTTCCATGGCAATTTCACCCAATATTGGTTATCTTTATAGATAACAGTATCAAGATATTTCTGGTAAGTCCATGTGTCATCTGGACTAGGTTGTTTAGGGACTATATATACCAAAGGTGTCTAAATCCCATAATTTGTGTACAGGTGGATTAGACTCATCATCATTGGTTACGTCTCTGATTTATAGTGGTGACTGCTCTAATCCTAGTCAAGCCACTATTGAATTATTTTGTTAATTACTGTTAGATTTAGATTTTTACTGGATCAGCACCGGTCCTGTGAGTAATTTTCCTGCAGGTGCCAGCAACAAATTCATACCTCGTTGCCTGGTGCATCCGGTAATAAATCTATAGTAATAGTCAGCTCTAATGAGAATACCCACGTCACTGAGACAGTCTGAATTTATTTTATAATCCGCTAGCCTAACACCGTCGCGCTTGAGAAGTTTGACTGTGTGACCAAGACCTTATAGATAACATTATCAAGATATTGTTGGTAAGTCCATGTGTCGTCTGGACTAGGTTGATCAGGGACTATACCCAAGGTGTCTAAATCTCATAATTTGTGTATAGGCAGGCAGACCTTATTCTAGCTATGATGTCTGGGTTGGAGGAGACAAGTTCACACTTGGAAGGGTTCAGGAAGAGACCCAGGCTTACTTATAGCTCCCTTATTTTTCTGATGTCTTCCAAGAGGTAGTCTAGGGGGCCAGCTATAGTGCCATCATCCAAAAACCAGATGTTGAACTCGCTGGTCAAGCGTTCAGTGATTTCTTTTAAGACTAAGCAGAAAAGAAGAGGAGCTAGAGAATCACCTTGCTGAACACCTTCGCATGATCTATTGTGAAGAGCAAAGAGCAATTTTGATTCACCACTGAAGCAAGATAGTATGAATAGGTAGAGAAGTCGGAAATGGCGATGTACGGCACAAAGCACTGCATCTCTTTTGACCATGTTGAAGGCATTCTTAAAGTCCAGTTTGAGCAGGACCTTTTCGTCAGAAATGTTGGTGATGTATGCTCGTGCTGCATGAGTAGTCACTTCACAGATATGGGGGAACCCAAATCCTAGCTGAGTTGGTTACAGCAATTTAGTCGCTTGTTGGCTGACAACCCTCGTAGCAGCCTAGGCAATCATGCGTCGGAGAGTGTTGCCAACAGCGATTGGCCTGATTCCCTAATCCTTCTTTTTGAGAGCACAGAGGGAGGCACCAAAAAAAAGGGGCCTGATGACCTCAGGTATATCACCAGCCAGGCACACATTGACGAACCTGGTGAGTGCCATAAGAAGATCTTGTGCAGCATCACCAACCGCAGGATTTAACATTTGCTTGATGTGTTGAGATTTTAATCGTGTAAAGCTACCTGTTGACTATTATGTGTTGTTGTAGGTAGGTTGCTTACATCTCTACCATACAACAAACGAAAACCTTTAGAATGCTTATACTTTGATCAAGAGATCACCCTGTACACTTCCTGCTCTTGGAGAGGGGCTCAGCGTCACACATTAAGGGGGTGCGGTTCCAACACTGGCCTTGTTGTCACGTGCACAAACCCAATTCGAGCCGCTGTGACTCCCCACTCCCTCCTCATTTTGTATAACCTCCTCAATATCCCCTTTCTTTGAATTGTAATTCTGTACCACCCTGTCCACAGTTGTGGTTCTTTCTCTCTCTTCTAATTTCTGGGAAGCCTCACTAGGACAAGGGCACCTGTAGATTACATACATTTAATAGTCAGAGAACATATACAACACAAATACGAGATATAATAATGACTCCAACACTCTATGCTATTGTAATAAGGTTGCATCCTATCTCTTCAGGGCTCTATCAGCTGCTTATATCTAGTGATAGCCCAACTCCTGGCTTGCCACATATGCTATCATCCTCACTAAGTGGGTTAAATCTGGTACTGCAATATGGCCCTATCAGCCCTAGAATATATATAAATATACACAAAGAAATCCAGCTAATAGCTGTAACACTATAGACAGTATTTTCGTAATTAAACAAAAAGTTGTTCTTTTTATAGCAAAATGTTTATATAAAAAGGTCTTAAGGCTGCATTTATATAAAAAAAAGTTTCAAGGCCTTGACAATATTTTTGAACCCAGAAAAAAATGGTAAACATAATACATTTTTGCTGCGAATTTTCTTATTATATATATTATAATATGTACGACGTACATTGCTATGGCAAACTTCGAAAAAACTCAGTGTATAGCAAAGCTTGAGACCAATAGAATCAATATTCTTAACTCTTCATCTATGAATTCTGGACTAACCCGAAGAGTTTTTAGATACATAGAGGAAAAAGTATTGTTTCACATTGTATCTATGCCCTGAGAAATAATGAACATAAGGTAAATTATTCGTAGGCTTTCTGTAAACACTAAACTTTAGTAAAAAATCTTCCCTATGAAGAAGTATACTTAAAAATGACAAACATTTATCAGTTTCAGTCTCAATGGTAAATTTTATAGAGGTGATTTGATCAGTAAGCTAAAAATTCGTCTGAATTTACATTTGGAGGCCATATACACAAAATATCGTCAACAAATTTAACCAAGGAATGATTCCAGGGGTAATTTTTGAAACAAATTTCTTTTCGAAAAATTCCATGTACAAATTTCAAAGCAATGCCGTAAAGGATTCCCCATTGATATTTAAAAAGTCTGTTAATAATACTCATTATTAAAAGTAAATTTACATTCTTTTATTCACAGCTTAACGAGATTGTCAATAATATCAGCAGGCAGAGGTAATACATGCTTCATAAATTCATGAGCAAGGTAATCAATAATATCATCAACCAGAACCTTAGTAGACAAAGAACAAAAATAAAAACTGATTAACATGATATCAGGATTGATTGGAACATTATTCAATTTGTTAACGAATTCAATAGTTCCTAACAATGGGGGACAGGATTTTCGTGAGCCATTTTAGAAAGCTTGTAAGAAATGGATCCCACAGAACTGTTGATAGGCCTTTTTTATAGTTAGGCAATACAGGAGATGAGGAAGTAAGTTGATTAAGAAGATCATTCTGGTTTCTTAAAAACTTCCTCAAGCTGCTATTGAAGGACTTGATGATATAACCAAGAGGATTTTTCCTGAGTTTGGTATATGTAGAAGAATTTTGGAGATCATTCATATTGGAAATATATTCCTCCTTGTTTAAATTTCACATTTAAATATTGTCACATTTCTTCCAATAATGTCTTTCAGGACTCTTTATTTGATTTTGTTGGCCGTGGAAAAGAAGTTCCTGTAGAATATTGTAATAGGTGGTACCGGTAAAGTACTGTTTCATATCTGAGGTTGCTTGGTGACTTATCTCCTTTCAATGATCTCTTCGATATATCCGTTAAAAGTATCCATTATTGCCTTACTCTACTGAGTTCTTCGTCAACCTGCTTCCAACTGGAGCTGTGAGAGGGCACAGCTGACATAGGCATTGACCACACTCCGCCTGCTTCTGTCACTTCTAGCACCAACATAGGAATGTGCCCTAATTGTCACTTATTTCATGAAATTGTATCATACTCAGGCTGAGATAGTCATATATTGTAAAATTAGAATCGGCTAAACATTATTTCACACTCCAAAAAATAAAATAGACTAACTAATTTGTTAATATATTTTTTTATATTAATATATTATAACAAACAAAAATTAAAATCTGTTTTAGCACTAAAATTATTGGGTAGTGAAAAGGTCACTTAGAATAGTTAATGATACTGGAATTAGAACTCGACAAACCTCCTTTTTTATATAGTTCATAAACTAAAAAGAACTTGTCTTTAATACTTCTAAGGTGAAGCATAAAATCTGTTTCCGTTACCATACCTGAGTATTTCAGTTTGATTCTGCCTATATGAGGTGATGATAAAATACGTCTTTCCTCAATAATACTCATGAATTAAAATAATATTTGTCTCAGATCATTCCCTTAATAATTAGATTTTTCTTGTCCCAAATAATCCTCTGCTTCTGGTTGCTCCAAATAATTAACTCTTTGCCCTAAACTTCTCTCTGTTCCTGCTATTTCTTAGTAATAAACCTCATCGTGTCCAAAAATTCTCTCTGCTCCTGCTGTCTCTTGATAATTAGCTGTACCTTAACACAATGATCCTTCCTCCTGATAAAGGCCTTTACCTTGTCTCAGATTCCCCTGCTCCTACGGGCTATAGAGTTGTCACCACAGCCGCTAAAGCTGTTCGGCTCGCCCTGGGCGCCCCCGGCCTGGATGAAGACCAATGGCATGTTCAACGGATCTGGGATACTTATCAAAGAAATGTGGCAACCTTATGCTAACTACCTTGTTAAGTAAGTGCTTAGTCGGTGTGAAGTCTTATACTTAGTGGGGAAGATGCTGGAGTGTAAGTATGTGTGCCTTTGAGCACAACTGTTGGTATGTATTCACCATGATAGTAATCTGCATATCAGATTATGTGATATAGTTCACATACTGCATTTGATTAAAATTATAATTACACACGCACACACTGGTTGGGCGCCTGTTGGCTGAGTGGACAGCACTCAGGTTTCGTAGTCCTGTGGACCAAGGATCGATCCCAGGCGATGGCGGAAACAAATGGGCAGAGTTTCTTTCACCCTGATGCCTCTGTTAACTAGCAGTAAATAGGTACCTGGGAGTTAGACAGCTGTTACGGGCTGCTTCCTGTGGGTGTATGTGTGAAAAAAAATAAGTAAATAAAATCCCTTGATTGATTGACAATTGAGAGGAAGATCGAAAGAGCCAGAGCTCAACCCCCGCAAGCACAACTAGGTGAATACACACACACACACGGTGTGTATTCGTGGCTGAGTAGACAGGGCTCGGGGGTCGTAGTCCTAAGGGCCCGGGTTTGATTCCAGGACGACGCGGAAACAAATGGGAGAGTTTCTTTCACCCTGTTGCCCCGGTTCACCTAGCGGTAAATAGGTACCTGGTAGTTAGACAGCTGCTACGGGCTGCTTCCTTGGGATGTGTGTGTGTGTATTCACCTATTTGTGCTTGCGGGGGTTGAACTTTGGCTCTTTGGTCCTGCCTCTCAACTGTCATTGTATGTGTGTGTGTGTATGTTAAGAGATAAATATATGTAGTAGACATAATAAAGGAAAAATAAATTGGTTAGAAAGGCGGGATCTAAGAGCTAATAGCTCGATTCTGCAGACACAAATAGTAAATACAAATAGTAAATGCACGGCCTTGTAATGACAACAAACACAGACCTGTTCTGGTGCAATTTTCTAATGAAGAGACCGTCGACTACATATTAAAGCACAAACATTTACTAAGGGGCAGCGAAGGCTATTATAATGTGTGTATAGACAGATACTTGACCAAAGACGAACAACAAGAAATGAAGGTGAAAAAACTGACCCACAGTCGTCACCGTCGCCCCAGCACCCCCTCCCAACTCACACACCACTCCAATCAGCCCTCCCAGCCTTCCCCACCCCTTCTACTCCCAACAACTACCCTGCCCCCTCCACCCCCTCTCTGCAACCAATACCATATGCTCCATCCCACCCTCGTCCCAGCTCTCACTCTCCCCAACTTCCACATCCCATCCCACCATCCTTCTACCACAAACAACTCCCCTGCCCCTTCCACCCCCATCTGCTACCTATCCCATCTGCTCCATCCCTCCCTCCAAAGCTCCTCTTCTCCCCCTCCATCCCCACACCCTTCACAACCCTTACCCCCCCCCTTCGTACCTTCTCTCCAGTATGGCCCCCTCACCTGGCAACCCCAGCCTCTCTCCCCCTCACCCATCCACTGCCTTCAAACACCCATTTTTTTACCCCCACTCCCATCTGAGACCCCACCTCCCACTTACTCTTCTTCTACCCTAAAACCCATACCTGCCCCTGCTTCTGCCCTACCCCTAGCACACCCTCTTTTTGACTCAACCTCACTCTGCTTCTTGGTCCCCCTATGCCTCTCTGACCCTTTTTACCTCTCAGACCCACTATGCCCTTCAGACACGCCTAGCTGCCCAGACCCCAATCGCTCCCCAGATTTCCCTAATTGCTCAATCCCATCTGCCCCCAGCACCCACCCTCCCCACCCATTAGCTCTCTCTCTCTCTCACGTGGCCCCACAAAAGTGACTTGATGAAATAACTATGACCAAGATTACCACCAAGTGCCGTCGGGACGGTGAAATAGCCTCGGCTAACAGCGTCTTTTGTATGGTCACAGATGGTCGAGTGGTTATAGTGCCGTGTACACTAGTTGCATTGTTCTCCTGGCTGTCCCGGGTTCGAGTCACTTCTGGGGTGTGGAGTTTTCAGTCATATATATATATATATTGTTACGGCCCTCTCGGGACGCAACGGGGTTCTCACTCTGATGTTGTTAGAGGAAGATATAGGTATCCGTTCCCAAGCCAGTAGTGGCTATCAAGGGATGAGATCCGTGACGCAAGTAACTTAAAGGGAGTAGGGAAAGAAAGCTAAGAACTTAATATAATATAATGTTCACCATCACCATTTAAATATATAGAAGTAAAACGTACACAAGGGGGAGGGGTATTAACACTTTACAAAGGGGATCAACACTGTAGTCTTCTGCTGGAGACTATGGATCCTCGAAGCTAGGTGCTGAGTCCGCGGTGCTTTCTTCGTGGCCTCAAGACGTGTCCTCTGAGAACGCCGAGCCTACCCTGGCCACAGGTCAGCCACAACACAGGTCCACTGGGGGCACCGTCGTGGAGGCCGTCAACCACACGTCCAGCAGGTCTGCTGGCAGGTACTGAGCCACCAAGGCTGGTACGGCCACTCCACGAACGATAAAAGGGGTACGCCCTAGACAGGAGTCTCGTGTGATATCACCAATCACCCTCCTGTCCTCAATACCCCAGTGGATTATCGTCTCCAACCGTCGGTCCCGGGTAAATCCTTCCACTGCCACTCCACTGGCAGGCTTAACACACCACAGTGTTCTTCCGGGGGGACGACGTCACAACAGCTGCAGCAAACTTCACAGTATGGAGACTGGCTGCCTCGGGTAGACTCACTCCACCTTCAACACAGTGGTCCCAGGTCGGCTCTGTAAGCAGACACGTCATCAATAACTGGGACACTAATACACCACACTCACAGGCTCAGATACTAACACCTGACGCATCCAGTCCATAGATGGCGCTGTCGTCGGAGCACCACCTCACCAGAGGTCAGGGGCGGCGGTGTTGAGCGTTGAACCAGACTGGAAACTGGTCCTCGAGGCCAGTACACGCTGTCCTCACCAGGTGTCGTCGTTCGTTTGGCGGGGGTTTCGGGAGCTGACCCACAGATGGCGTAGTTGTTACTGCTCCTTGCTCGGACGCTGGATCCGGGTTCGTAACACCTCCTCACCAAAAAGAATTTGGTTTGGGGTTCTATAAAAAACACAAACCAAATTAGCAGGGCGACACAACTCCAAATGGACTTACTTATCCTATGAACTGGAGTGATGAGGCTGTCTTGTCCACAGAACTTTTCTACCGAGAAACTCTGGCACAAAGGGAGCTTGAAAATGGCAGGCGATGACCTGCCTGACGTAATCTTCCACACCTCCTCTGCGATGGCAAACAGGGGCATCATCTCACATCTCTCGAGTAAGGATCGGTGTAGACACGATCTGGGGCGACTCGACACTTCCCTGTGTAGTGGCATCGATGATGGCTGATCACAGACGGCATTTCTGGTACCGGTCCGATGGTCCTTCAGGGAGACAGGAACCTGGAATACAGGGGTCTGATAATTCAGAGTGATAGCGACCGCGAGTAAAACAGTACTTACAGCATACTCTACTAGGTCCACACCTAGTCCCAACGGGGCTGTTCGTACGTCGCAGGTGGCATTCGCTCTGCCACCGTCAGGTCGACCAACGTTCCACATAACGCTGCATTGAGGCTCAGCAGTCACGCGGGGGGTGTCAACCTATCGGAAACAGTCACTCATATTATCACATGTCGTACCTCCAGTATCAATTATCACCTTCCAGGTCCCTCCTTCAACTGCAACACCTGCAGTACTAATCTCCAATCCCTGGGACCTCTTCACGATGTTCATGGGAGCCATCATCCTTCGGGTCGTCCACTGATCCTTACTGAGAACACAGAGAACACATAGGAGAACAAAACAAAATACCGGTAGGAAACATTTGGCAATTCGAGGGATAAGTTTCCCGAGCCAGTCATGTCCATAGCCGGCCACATCCACACGTCTGGCTTGGACCGAAGAGGGCACTAGACCTTTTGAACACACCACACCTACCTCTGACGTCTGGGGAATCTCTGGCTGGTTCACTACATGCTGTAACTTGCCATACCGCAAGCACACATCCGCCTTCGCTCCAGACTCGTTGGTATCCGTGGGTGCCCGCACACAAGGCCCCTCTTCTTGCTCAGGTACCTCTGCCTTCTTAACTTCATGTTCCTCGTCGAGAGAATCAGGAGACACTGCTAGATAACTGTCGATCTGCGGGGGAGAGGACAAATTAGACATGTTCAAATCCGTGTCTGTCTTTACCTGGACGTTACCATTGCCTGTTGACACCTCAGACTTTGATGTTCTGGCTGACTCGTCCGCTATCTTGGGATGATTGTTGCTCCAATCGGTCACCAAGTCGTTGGCTAGTACCACGTCAATCCCAGCCACAGGGAGGGTATCGACTACTGCCAACGCACATGTGCCGCTGAAATAAGGCGAGTCGAGATGTACTGGCACTAAGGGGGCGATGTACTGCGTCCTTGGAAACCCAACCAGGACAACCTCTTATCTCCCGTCCACACTTACTCCCTCGGGTATCGAGCTCTTCATGATCAGGGACTGGGCTGCTCCACTATCTCTGAGCACTACTACAGATCTACCAGTATGATCACTCGATACATACCCGCCTGAAGTGTGAGGGGAAAACAATCTGGGTTCTTCCTGCGTCGCCGTCGACTGGCTTCCTGCTGGTGATGTTCCACAGCTCATCAACATCACCTCCCTTCGTGCGCTGTCACCTCTTCTGCCTCGGCACCTAGCAGCTATGTGCCCTTTCTGCCCACAAGTCCAGCACACCATATTCCTCCTCGGGCTCCGGTGTTTCGGACTGCTAGGACTTGTTCTTCGGGGGCTACTTGAGGGCGTCTTCTTAGCACTTTGTGGGACGGGTCTTTCTTCTTCTACGTCGTGAGGTCTGTCAAACCGGCGCTGGTAATTCCTCGGGACGTACTTAGCAGACGGCCTATGAGTCAGGATATGCTCTTCAGCCATGGTGGCTGCTGCACTCAAGGTCTCCACCTGCTGCTCTTCTAAGTATGTCTTGAGGTCTCCAGACAAACAATCCTTGAAGTCTTCGAGCAGAATCAGCTGTTCGAGGTCTTCCCTGGTCTCCACCTTCCGAGAGGCACACCATTCTTGAAAAAGTCGCTCCTTGATCGTGGCGAACTCTGTGAAAGTGTGCTCTGAGGTCTTCTTCAGGTTTCTGAACTTTTGCCTATAAGCCTCAGGTACCAATTGGTACGCCATGAGCACAACTTTCTTCACCTTGTCATAATCGCTGGAGTCGTCAAGGGATAACGTAGAGTAGGCAATTTGGGCCTTCCCAGTCAAGACTGACTGTATCATGATGGCCCAATTCTCCCTTGGCCACTCCAAAGAGGCAGCGACTTTCTCGAAGGCTGCAAAGAATTTTGACACCTCCTTCTCATGGAATTTGGGGACCATTTTGATGTTGCGTACCGGATCGAAGCTACTGGTGTCCGTTGTTTGCCTCCGACCACCGCCTAATCGCAATACTTCTAGTTCATGTTGTCTCTCTCTTTCCTCCCTTTCTCGCTCTCGTTCTTCTCTCTCTCGTCTCTCTTCTCTTTCTCGTTCTTCTCTCTCTCGTTTCTCTTCTCTTTCTCTTTCTTCTCTCTCTCGTTCTCGTTCTTCTCTCTCTCGTCTCTCTTCTCTTTCTCGTTCTTCTCTCTCTCGTTTCTCTTCTCTTTCTCGTTCTTCTCTTTCTCTTTCTCGTTCTTCTCTTTCTCTTTCTCGCTCTTCTCTTTCTCTTTCTCGTCTCTCTTCTTTTTCTCGTTCTTCTCTTTCTCGTTTCTCTTCTCTTTCTCTCTCTGCTTTCCTTTCTTCTAATTCTAAACGTCTCATCTCTAATTCTTTATCTTGTCTCTCTCGTTCCATTTCTAATTTCTTCCATTCTATTTCACGATTGATCTCTAGGGCACGCATCTTGACTGTTAGGAAGCTGATATTAAGCTCGCCTGCATCACTGTCAACGTCGCTGCCCTTATCTTCCTTTTCCGTGGAAGCTATGTCTGCACTTTCCTTTGTACTAGGAGTCTCGCCTTCCTGTTTCTCTTCTGCCTTCAGGTGCCGGTGCACCTTGGACAAGATCTCCACACGGGAGTCACTGGCACGGATCTTGATCTCCAGGTAGGCGCTCACTAGTACAAGCTCTGGTTTACTCAGATATTTTAATCCGGCAAGACAATCCTCTCTGTTCAGAAAAGCCTGAACCTCGTCCAGATCATCGATGGTAGCTTTGTCTGCCATTGTCACAGATGGAACACTTAGCACTTAACACTGCTTACACGTTAGCACTTAACGCACCGAGCACTGTTCTACGCCAATATTGCACTTTATCGCACCAAACACTGCACTTGCCAATATTGCACGTAATCACTCCAGGCACCGCACTACCCAATATCGCACTTAGTCACTCTGAGCACCGCACAGGACGTATAACGTCACAATCGTCACACAGGGGGAATTATATACAGGGATTACGCCACTTCACCACCCCTGTCAAACATACTTAACAAGGGGACGGATCCCGCTGGGGATGCCAATTATGTTACGGCCCTCTCGGGACGCAACGGGGTTCTCACTCTGATGTTGTTAGAGGAAGATATAGGTATCCGTTCCCAAGCCAGTAGTGGCTATCAAGGGATGAGATCCGTGACGCAAGTAACTTAAAGGGAGTAGGGAAAGAAAGCTAAGAACTTAATATAATATAATGTTCACCATCACCATTTAAATATATAGAAGTAAAACGTACACAAGGGGGAGGGGTATTAACACTTTACAAAGGGGATCAACACTGTAGTCTTCTGCTGGAGACTATGGATCCTCGAAGCTAGGTGCTGAGTCCGCGGTGCTTTCTTCGTGGCCTCAAGACGTGTCCTCTGAGAACGCCGAGCCTACCCTGGCCACAGGTCAGCCACAACACAGGTCCACTGGGGGCACCGTCGTGGAGGCCGTCAACCACACGTCCAGCAGGTCTGCTGGCAGGTACTGAGCCACCAAGGCTGGTACGGCCACTCCACGAACGATAAAAGGGGTACGCCCTAGACAGGAGTCTCGTGTGATATCACCAATCACCCTCCTGTCCTCAATACCCCAGTGGATTATCGTCTCCAACCGTCGGTCCCGGGTAAATCCTTCCACTGCCACTCCACTGGCAGGCTTAACACACCACAGTGTTCTTCCGGGGGGACGACGTCACAACAGCTGCAGCAAACTTCACAGTATGGAGACTGGCTGCCTCGGGTAGACTCACTCCACCTTCAACACAGTGGTCCCAGGTCGGCTCTGTAAGCAGACACGTCATCAATAACTGGGACACTAATACACCACACTCACAGGCTCAGATACTAACACCTGACGCATCCAGTCCATAGATGGCGCTGTCGTCGGAGCACCACCTCACCAGAGGTCAGGGGCGGCGGTGTTGAGCGTTGAACCAGACTGGAAACTGGTCCTCGAGGCCAGTACACGCTGTCCTCACCAGGTGTCGTCGTTCGTTTGGCGGGGGTTTCGGGAGCTGACCCACAGATGGCGTAGTTGTTACTGCTCCTTGCTCGGACGCTGGATCCGGGTTCGTAACATATATATATATATATATATATATATATATATATATATATATATATATATATATATATATATATATATATATATATATATATATATATATGCGGAAAATCCACAGAGAAATATGAAAGGAAGTGAACGTTTCGGCCTAATTAAAGCCGCTGTCAACACCAGACTCTGGTGTCAACAACAGTGGTGTTGACAGCGGCTTTAAACAAGCCGAAACGTTCACTTCCTTTCATATTTCTCTGTGCATTTTCCGCATAAATATGATCAGTGTTTTGTGATCGTCAATATATATATATATATATATATATATATATATATATATATATATATATATATATATATATATATATATATATATATATATATATATATATATATATATATATATAAAACACCAAGAACTCTTCTGCTGTGAAGGATTCGAACCTTGGAACCAGTACCCTGACCACTCCACCATGGCAGAGCGTTAAAAAGTTTACATGTTGGGAGTAATTTCCACAACAGAACAAACCCCCCAGCAACACCAGCCAATGGCAAGAATTCATTTTCAAATCGATCAAATTTACTAGAGAAAACGCGAGCCTCATACACAACACACTTGCAGACACGCGCAAGTAATAGGTAACACCAAGAACTCTTCTCCTGTGAAGGATTTGAACCATGGAAAGACAGGTGCATCACACACCTTGGCATTACCAGTACCCTGACCATGCACTCCACCATGGCAGATCGTCAAAAGAATTGCATGACAGGAATAATTTCCAAAACAGAAAAACCCCCCAATTCGAACCTTAAATCTGGATGGGCCCCTGTTTGGGGGCCTCCAGAAATTCCCAGAGAACTCTGTAGAGTTCAGGGTTATTCAACTTGTGTACCACCGTGGCCCAGCAATTAAGGCAGGTGTCTGGGAATCACCAGGTCACGAGTTCATGTCAATTCCATTGCCTCAATATGATTTTCATTGATATATCACTCCATTGTGATTTCATTGTTATTTTATTGTCAGATTCGTGGACGCGTACGAGGGTGAAGGAGTCGGCTTGTGGGGTCTCACTCCTCAGAACGAACCGCTTGGTGGCCTCGATAATGTAAGTTTTTTTCTTACATTATTGAATCTCTGAATTCGAGTTACGCTGTTCTTTACAATTTGATTGCAAATCTTAATATAATTTTCAAAAACCAAGAAAGTATCTTGTACTTTGGTGACAAATGTGTTTGTTTGAGCCAGTGGCCTATCAACTGCTGTGGGTGGACGGCCGAGGAGATGCGTGACTGGATGAAGGGTAACCTGGGGCCGTCCCTTGAGGCTGCCGGGTATCGTCGCCTACAGATGATGATGGTTGACTTTAACAGAGACTCTCTGCCCTGGTTCGTAGAGACGGTAAGCCATGTTAACCACACTTTACCAGCCATTATCACCACCACCACAGCGTTCCCCTGAAACACTGCGTGTGATTAGAGATGCTGTTACATGCATTAATACAGTACAACCTCTGAATATTTTTATTTACAAATAAATTAGGTTATTAGTATTATTATTATTATTATTATTATTATTATTATTATTATTATTATTATTAGTATAATTATTAGAAACTTTTGTTATAATCGTTAAAAAATAGTTACGAATTTTAGATATTTAATAATCAAACATTTTAAAGAATTATATTATATCATTCACAAACATAGATAAACTAGCACCAAACATAGATAAACAATTCACAAACTATGGATAAACCCCAAAAAATTATATGATCTTAGTGACAAAGTTGGTTGTTGTAGAAATAGAAGACAAATAAGGGTCTGTTACTAAGACTCGCAGTACGCAGCTGACCGAGCAATTATGACTTTATCACTTGTGGATCAACCTTAGTCCAGGTAGCATTGTAAAAAGAGATATAATCTACTAACTAGCTTGTGGAGGAAAAAATGACAGTAGAGTAAATGAAAAGTTTTAAAATGGGTCAGGAACAGATTGGTGGTGAGGTAAATGCAGTTTTAGAGAGGAGGGGGTTGTGGGGTATGTGGGGGGGGGGAGAGGGGTATGGGTAGCCACACCCACACGAACTAGCCAGTATACCAAGCTCCACGCTGCCCGGCGGTTACACACATTATGACCTCTGAGTACTTCCTGGACCATCATGGGGGCTCACCTAACCTCCTGAAGGTGTGTGTGAGCGTGTGTTTTAGCAACTGTGGTCTCTGGAGATGCTCGAACGTGATATGACTCTTATATCCTCCTACGATCATTCCCGCTCCTCCTCCACTCCATACAGAAGGGATAAACTCTTGAAGGTCATCCTACAACAGCTGATGATGCGACTCTCTCTCTCTCTCTCTCTCTCTCTCTCTCTCTCTCTCTCTCTCTCTCTCTCTCTCTCTCTCTCTCTCTCTCTCTCTCTCTCTCTCTCTCTCTCTCTCTCTCTCTCTCTCTCTCTCTCTCTCTCTCTCTCTCTCTTTCTAGATTCACAGATGGGAAGGGAGGATGAGGAGGAGTGGCTGGCTCGTGCACCCCCTAGGAGGAAGGTGGCTTCCCCCCTAAAGGTCTTTCCAATTTTACACAAGTTTATTAAGCATATTGAAACAGCCTAACCTACAATGCGGATATCGCTCACAGATGGCAAGGAGGCCTTGGCCAGAGGAAAACCCGGCTCACTCCTTCGCTCGCTTGCCCACCTCCCCAGCTGCCATATCACAAGTCATGCCCTCATAAACTCTAGGAGACCCACACACACACACACACACACACACACACATACACTCTCTCGGGAGGGGAGATGAAATACTTCAAGAGTCAGAGAGAGAGAAAGACCTGGGGGTTGATATCACGCCAGACCTGTCCCCTGAAGTTCATATCAAGAGGATAACATCAGCGGCATATGCCACGTTGGATAACATAAGAACGGCCTTTAGAAACTTGTGTAAGGAATCTTTCAGAACATTATATACCACATATGTCAGACCAATCCTGGAGTATGCAGCTCCAGCATGGAGTTCATATCTAGTCCAGCATAAGACTAAACTGGAAAAGGTTCAAAGGTTTGCCACCAGACTAGTACCCGAACTGAGGGGAATGAGCTACGAGGAGAGACTACGGGAATTAAACCTCACATCACTGGGAGACAGAAGAGTTAGAGGGGACGTGATCACCACATACAAGATTCTCAGAGGAATTGATAGAGTAGATAAAGACAGACTTTTTAACACAAGGGACACACGCACTAGGGGGACACAGGTGGAAATTGAGTGCCCAAATGAGCCATAGAGACGTTAGAAAGAATGTTTTCAGTGTCAGAGTAGTAGACAAATGGAATGCATTAGGAAGTGATGTGGTGGAGGCTGACTCCATACACAGCTTTAAGTATAGATATGATAGAGCCCAGTAGGCTCAGGAACCTGTACATTAGTTGATTGACCGTTGACAGGCTAGACCAAAGAGCCAGAGCTCAACCTCCACAAGTACAAATAGGTAAGTACACACACAACTGTAGGAGGGGGAGGCGGTAAGCCTTTCTAAAATCAGCTAGACACCCATCCACTCAGTCATCAGATCTTGAAAGGGGAAGGAGGCATGTGCCCTACCTGACACAAGCCCTTCCCACGGTCACCCGGCCATCACCTTTTCAACCACCTGCTCTCGTCTACACATGCCACACCCACTTTAACCCTTTATACTGGATACCTTCCCCACCTGGATACTTGGTGACCCACCTGCCACAACTGGTGCACCTAGTACATGTTAATGGGGGGAGGAGTTTGTGGTTACACACACTCTCCACGTCGCCACCACAACATAAGCCACACCCACTTTAACCCCTTACGACGTAGACAGTGCCATACCTGGCCTACCTGCCAGCTGGTGCACCTCCTCTTGCACCAGCTGGCAGGTGGTACTCACGGTCTCCGTCGTAAATTACCCTACTCACCATCATACTCCAGTAGCCATCAACAGCATCATCTCAGTTACGTTGTTATTGGCCGCCGTTATCTGAGATGTTTGTTTCTATAGTTTTGCTCTGAGGGGCGAGTTTATTGGGCAGCGCCACTCATTCTGTGAGTGGACACGCCGCCATAGCGTATGTACAACACTCTCAGTGGGAAGAAAACCAACTGGGTTGTTCATCATGTCACTTGTACCCAGCCACAGCTGGGATTTGCTTAACTGTCTCAATTGAACAGCGTATCAAACAAGAAGATTAACATTCATCAACCGTTAACCACTGAACTGCACAACGTGCTTTGAGGCTCGCGATGGGTGGTGCACAACGCGCCTCAGGGATCTCATTGGTATAGTATACGATTCAAAACTGGCACATGGTGACGCAGGTACAAAATGGATGCCTAAGGCCTCCAGTGATTGTCCGCCATTTTGAAAAAAAATCCCAGTAAGCCCAAGGGCCGTGGGAACCCTCAGTTTTAAGGAAGCAACCATGTCTGATGCATTGTCTATGAGCTCCTGGTCCACGGTCAGCTGCGGTCCAGCAAAACAACTCTCAGAGGACCAAATACGGGACATATTGTATGATGATGGACCCATGGATGACGATTTACACTACAGTCCTGATAAAAGACCTAACACAGGTCAGACACGAATGCGGGGGTAGGGGGGGGGGAAGCAGAGGTGGACGATGTCGCGAGTGTGTACAGTACACGCGCCTGGCCTGACCTGCCTCACTGCCCGGGGTCAACACCGGTAGAGTCACCATCACCTTGTGTGTTCCCTGATGTGAGTTTATTTGATGACACTATATGTATGTGATGAGTCATTCTCGAGATTCAGTGACATAGGCTCCGATACAAGCAGTGTTGAGGACCCGACTACAAGCAGCGATGGATGTTACTAGGTGGGGTTTTGCTGCCACAGCAACATGCCCAGGCAAGCATGTCACACGGCCTCAGGACAAAGATCACAGTGTTCCCTCAACATCAGGTGTTCGTGGTAGGCCTATACTACACAGAACACTCTCATCTTCTGGCATACCCATATGCAGCTCTAGCATGAGACGACAGAGTCAAGTTGTTGGGGCCCGTGCTGGAGTTGACTGCGGTGTTGGCGCCAAAACCAAAACCGCTGGTGTGCTTGTGTGGGAGGATTGTGAGACTTCTGTCCCACAATTTCGAACATTTGATGATACCGATGTTGATGTGACAGCCTTAGTCCCCCTATACTGGTGATGATATGGCTGATATAGATTGTTTTATGGCAAATTTTGATCAGGCATTCATGGACCTTCTCGTTGCAGAGACGAACAGATATGCTCACGTCTTCATTGACTCTGGAATTTTATCTGCCTCTCGTGTGACACGTTGGAAAGACACGACAAAGGAGGAAATGTATGTGTTTTTAGAGAAATGCATGATGATGAGGCATTCAGATAAACACGTCATCCAGTATTAATGGAGCAAAAACAGCCTTGTTCCATCCCCCGTGTTCAACAGGTACATGTCACGTGATAGGTTTCTGCTGCTTCTCACAATGATAAAGAAGACAGACTGTGTGGTATATCTTCCACACCTGTGGAAGATGCAGAAGATATTTAGTGATATGAGAGGAAAGTTCAGTGACTATTTTGTACCAGGACAGAATGTCGTGATTGATGAATTGCTAGTCCTCTTCAAGAGACGACTGGCGTTCAAGCAGTTCATTCCATCAAAGTGGCACCAATTTGGACTCAAGTTTTTCGTGCTAAAGCGGCACCAGTTTGGACTCAAGTTTTTCGTGCTACGTGACTGCGAAACTGGTATTGTCATGGACATGATACTGTATTCAGGTACAGACGTTGACATACCTGGTCAAGATCCACACGGCTTCTCAGGCAGTGTCGTGAAAACGCTCATGAAACCGTTGCTGAACAAGGGGCATATCCTATACACGGACAACTACTATACCAGCCCCTTGCTGATCAGATTCCTCCTTCTCTTGAGAGAGAAATCAAGTTGACCACAATACCGGCGTATGTAGCACTGTCAAGGCCCACAGGAGGGAAATGCCAGTGTTTGGGATTTGTATTGCAGTGGGTGATTGGCAGCTGTGAAAGTGTGATGAAGTGTTATCAGTGTGCAGGTGGGACAGACGTGAGATGAATATGATGACCCCTATTCACACTAGTGCTATGTTGGACAGTGGCAAAGTGCACTTTGCAACACGGTTCCCAATATATAAACCTGATTGTGTCATTGACTACAACGTAAATATGCGGCTAGTTGATAAATGTGACATGATGGTTTGTGCCGACGAGTGCGTCCGAAAATCTGTGAAGTGAACGAAGAATTTTTTTTCCCACCTCATTGACGTTGCAATGTTGAACTGTTTCAACATGTATCTCGTGAAATCTGCCAAAAGACTCCTAATACGTGCATTCAGTGTTGCTCTAGTGTCCCAGCTTCTCGTGAAGTCTGGGGTGGAGGGCTATGTTGCAACACGTGGGGTGCCAGCAACAATGCCACACGCAGTTCCTGACAGACTCAGGAGTAAAGAACACCTTGCTGTACACAAGCTTGGTTATATGCCAGGCACAGGCTCGTGGGACAAGGTAAATGTGCCTGCGTTGTTTGCAAGAACACAACGTTGAGAACACAAGCGAAGATGCATCTGCACCTGGTGCGTTGAGTGTAAAGTTCCCCTGTGCCCCATTGACTGCTTTACTGATTATCACACACTCGCGCAGTTCTAAGTGTATTGATAGGGGATGTATACAGCGTGTGATAGTGTACAGTGTGTAAAATGCTATGAATGTACATAATTGAACATGAAATATTGTAAATATAAAACATGTTTGTGGACACATTTGTGATAGATGTAACACAGTGTCTTGGAATGGTGGTACGGATGTTCTACTGCCAGAATACTGTAAACGTGTTCAATATACATAGGATTAGCCAAAAAAAAGATTATAAATGCATTTGTAAGGAGGAAATTTGTGTGCGGAAAAATTAACAAAAATATATTTGTGGCAACTCGCGCTTGTTGAAGCTGGAGCACAATTGCCTCCGGGAGTCTCCGGCGTGGGCGCTCACCAAGCCATGGTGTCACACAACATTTTCTGGACACCACTGCGGCCAAAGTACATTTGTGAAATTTTTTCAACATATATGTGATCAGGGAAGGGTATTTAACACTTTTAGAAGAACAAAAAATTGTTTGCAAACAAGTTATTTTCGGCGCACCACAGATTTGTCATATTTTAAGGCAGAGCAGTGCAGTGGTTAAAAACTTACGTTAACTTGCGAGTGTAAAATGGGGGAATCTTTTGTGAACAGCATTTATATTTGACGTAATATTTTCATAACTCGTTTGTTAAATCAAACAGTATCACTCGCATCAAATTTTAAATGTTGTAATCCTTTCAGCATGATTTTTAAAGTGTTTGCTGCACTCATAAATAATTCAATTGTCTAACAGGCAAGTATAGAATGAACATATTTGAGAAACGGAAATACGTTTCATCAGAAAGTATATTTATGAATTACTTAGAACTGCAAATTATTTTGTTTGATCAACAATATGTGTTATAAAAATAGCTAACTTGGAGGAAGATCACACCAATAAGCGATGATTAGCATACAGTCCGAAGAGGTTATTAAGGTATTCATGAACAAGAAGCCAGAGTCAAATTATGGCACTAAGAAAGTCAGACTTAGTTGCTGTATGAGACGGATTAAGGCTCAGAACCAAGAGCTCCTTGTCCTGAATGTGTGTAACTAAATAACACTTAGAACGGATGTGAAGACCAGGAGTTGAAATATGAGGACAAAGTGAAGGAATAGTGACCAAGCACTTTATCGCTCTACCGACCAGTCCAGTGGTTGTGCCAAATGATACTGGATTACGTTGTCACAGTTTGTTTCAGTGTAGCACTGTAATACCAGTAGGGTAAGTGATAGCAAAGTGTTTCTGCAATACTTATACAAATAATTAATATTATTTCACCTTGAAAGACAATAGCAAAATAAATAATACAAAATTTTACAAAAAAGTAAGCCATTATTACCCAGTTGAAAAGAGACAAACTTTAATTAATCATCCAGAAAATAAATAATACAAAAACTATAGTATTTAACACTTACAGAATAGCATTCAAGAATCGTTTGTACCATTGTTTGAAATGACAGTTTTCATCAAGTAGTAAAATTATTCCGTAATCCGCGACAAACACATGATGTTAACTATATTAAAAGTTGTTCTGCAGTGTTTGGAGGACCCGGAGTGTGCCCAGTACGTGGACGGTACAGCAGTCCACTGGTACTCTGACTACATAGTGGGTCCCGAGGTCCTGGACCAAACCCACGACCTCTCTCCATCAAGGTTTATACTCTACTCTGAGGCTTGTTACAGTAAGGAGAACGCTGCTACTTTGTAATGTAAACAATAGAGGGAAACACTTTTTTTAGGGTTATTTCACAACATTATTTTGTTTTCAAATTGTTACACTTCAGTCTAAGCCCTTTAAATTGCTTCTAACTTTGTCCTCGGATACAAGTCACATCGTTCACACGACGGTTTGCCAACGAATTGTAAAGCCTATTTAATCTAACCTATCTCAAACCAATCTACCTTTACGCAGTCAAGCATAACACAGCCTTACCTAACCTAATTTAATACATCCTAACTTAACAATCTAAAAACGGGCTTTGTCGAATCGTTTTCAGTACGATTTGACAATACCCCTTTTCTACTACCAATTACCAATTAGGTTATGATGGTGCATAATAAATTAACTAAACTAAAGGGTGAGTTAGTATAAATATAGATAGTGTTAATATGGAAGTTCAGAAAAAAAGTTCATGCTCTGTAATTGATATACACAATATTTTAATTCATATTTAGCAATATTTCGACCTGTGAACAATTCAAGTATCCTTTGTAATTTTTTTATTGGCATTGCATGGAATTCATTTTGCTCCTCTGAAGTCGATAGAATGATCTTTCGTTAAAATGTTTAAATTTTGGTATTGTTAAAAGTGAGGGTTTCGTTGAACGAAATGTGATTGAGTCCACTCTGATCAAACAATGTAACAACAGCCTTAAGGAAAGCCCTGGAATGTCCAGATTTGGTCCCCATATAAGCTTCAATATAACACGACAATACAATATAGCATTCACTTAACCTGTGTTTATATATTTATTTATTTATTTCCATCCGGTGGCACTTATATATATATATATATATATATATATATATATATATATATATATATATATATATATATATATATATATATATATATATAAATATGTCGTACCTAGTAGCCAGAACGCACTTTTTGGACTACTATGCAAGGCCTGATTTGCCTAATAAGCCAAGTTTTCCTGAATTAATATATTTTCTCTAATTTTTTTCTTATGAAATGATAAAGCTACCCATTTTATTATGTATGAGGTCAATTTTGTTTTATTGGAGTCAAAATTAACGTAGATATATGACCGAAACTAACCAACCCTACCTAACCTAACCTAACCTATCTTTATAGGTTAGGTTAGGTTAGGTAGCCGAAAAAGTTAGGTTAGGTTAAGTTAGGTAGGTTAGGTAGTCGAAAAACAATTAATTCATGAAAACTTGGCATATTAGGCAAATTGGGCCTAATATATATATATATATATATATATATATATATATATATATATATATATATATATATATATATATATATATATATATATATATATATATGCAAACAAGCTCGAATGGTCCCCAAGCATATATGCAAATGAAAACTCCACACCCTAGAAGTGACTTGAACCCAGACCTCCAGGAGCACATTGCAACTGGTGTCATGGTGCCTTTATCCACTCGACCATCAGTGACTGCACATATGGAGGTGATAGTCGAAGCTATTTGACCACCTCCCCGGCTGCACTTTGATGGTAATCTTGGGCATAGCTATTTCATCAAATCACTTCATTTTAGTCTGGCTTCTTTTGTACACTCACTGATGGTCGAGTAGTTAAGGTCTCCTGTACACCAGTTGCATAGTGCTCCTGGCAGTATGGGTTCGAGTCATTTCTGGGGTGTGGAGTTTTCAGTTGCATATATGCCTGGGGACCATTCAGGCTTGTTCGCATTTGTGTTGCTCACGTGGCCCCAAAAAAATGAAGTGATTTGATAAAATACCATGCCCAAGATTACCAGTGAGGGATCACTCACGTTTTTCATCAAGCCCTGTTATATGGGAGAACACGGTGTCCATTTGTGTCCACTCACATTTTCCATCAACAGGGCTTGATGGAAAACGTGAGTGGTCCCTCACTGTCTCGTTGCCTGGAGAGATGAGGATATCTGGGAGTTGAATACCCCGGAATTTCCACCTCTTTTAGGGATCTGAGTATGGTGTAGTGGATACAAGTGCTTACCTGCCATCTTGATGGCTAGGGTTCGAGTCTCCTGGTGGGTGTGGTTGTCTAAAGTTCTATACTTCAAAATTTGTGGTTTACAGCAAGTCAGTGCATTAAGCATGGACACCGTGTTCCCCCATATAACAGGGCTTGATGGAAAACGTGAGTGATCCCTCACTGTCTCGTTGCCTGGAGAGGTGAGGATATCTGGGAGTTAAATACCCTGGAATTCCCAATAAAACAACCAAACCTCAGATAGGATTTTGACACCCTTTGTCTTTCTATTTTCTGATGCACACATTGTTAACTAATTTTTTGTAAAAATAAAACTAATTTTACAATTATTAAATTTTTGTTTCTATCAAGTATGGGGCCCCCTCGGGGTAATGCCAACTTATAAATCCGGCCCTGTACTGAATACAAGTCTTTTACATGAGTTTTCAAATATAATTAGACATGTAAATTCATGGCAAATCATATAAAATTAGGTATTTTTGTTACATGTACTGACATTTCGAGAGATCTAAAATCATTAAGTTCCTTACAGACTTCGACGAAACTTTGCTTGGGTCATGGTTTCGAGCTGAGGATTACTCGCGCCACATTTTCGAGGTAACAATCACCTCGAAGTTCTTCATTCTTGAACTTCTATCAAATGTTAAATGTGTATTTACTTTTATTAACGTATATCATGTATTTCATCATCATGCATCATCTCTTAATCCCTAATGCAATTCATCAACTTGCCCATTTCATTTTTCTCTGTATTTTCGCAATTTCTTTAGATTAAGACCATTTTCATATAATTTAAATGTTATTTAATTGAAAAAATAATGTTCACCGTTTGCAACAAAGATTAAAAAAGAAACCTGCTATAGTTATTTAACTGGACTTAAGACCTTTTAGTAAAAATTTTGTTTTTTAGTGTAAAGAAAAAGGTTGCAAATATTACAAAAAGTACAAGGTAATTAATAATATCCCAATCTGTTTTTAATATTTAGCTAACTGGGTTTATTCGTTATCATTTAAATCCCCCCTTCACACTCTGACAAATGTCAAAATATAGATGTTAGTAAGAACACATCACAATATACTGAGGTTCCCTCCCATGCCTGCAGGCCGTGAACCACTACTCAGCAGGCTGGGTGGACTGGAACCTGGCGCTGGACAGACATGGAGGACCTAACTGGGCAAACAACTTCCTTGACGCACCCATTATCGTCGATACAGTCAGTATATCAGTATATTAATCCACAACTACTGTTCCTTCAGAGGCACCTAATTATGAGCTCGGTTTCTAGCAACAGATCCTCGTAACACTGGAGTATTTCTGTATTTTTTTAATGTAAACACAGTACTACACTGAATTATATAATTATAAATATTATTCTCAATCTAAACAATTATTACAGGGCTTTTCGAACAGCTTTTTTTTAGGTCATATGATAACTTGGAGAATGCCAAACATATTTTCAGGAAACCTTGCAACACCATCGTATTCGATGGAATAATGATCAATCACTTTCAATCACATTTTGAAAACTGAGAATGCTTTACTTATCTTTAAAGGTAATCTACTGAAAAAAACGCAGGCTTATAAATACCATGGGAAGGTTCTCTTGATCTCTAAATGTGTTTCCCATGCTTATTTAAAACTGTTGAATCCGTGAAGAGTTCCCCTTCCCTTTCAGTAGTTAATATATGGTAAGATTCTAATCAACCCCTACAAATACCAGGGTAAAGCCGGTTTAATTTTCATTCCAAATCGGTATTGTTGTTATAGCGCACTTCATAGATCACATAAGTAGTCAAAATTATATATAAAAAAATCTATGATTGATGTCTTCAGCTATCAAAACATGCATTGACTAAAAATTTTCAGTAAAACAGTACTGTTTTCAAATTTTGGTAAAACAGAATTACTTCTTTTTTACTGTGTAAACTTGAGAATTGCAAGTCTTAATTACACTTTTGCAGGCAGTGATAGTTGTTATTATCACATACCTACTAAAGGCAACTGGCTTTCCATAGAATATAGTTTCTGAACTTAAACTAAAATTTCATTAGAATCTTGTTTTGTAGAACAAAAAAAGATGGCTACATTTTGCTTCTTTTCATAGAATATCACATTTACCGGTATATTAATATCAACTGAGACATTAAAACGGTAACTCAAATAGTAAGACGTCATCAGGATCTTATGTAGTAAAAAACGTCACAATCCCTCCTCAGGAAGCAGGAGAGTTCTTCAAGCAGCCAATGTTCTACGCTCTGGGACATTTCAGCAAATTCGTGTTGCCGGGAGCTGAGCGCATCTCCTCCACGGTGTCAAGCGACTCCTTCGAGGTGGCCGCCTTCATTGACCCCTCAGGTCGCTCCGTTGTTCTTCTTCTCAACAAGTAAGGAACGTCTTTGACACACGGTTGCGTAGGTCTTTGCAGGAGTATCCTAGCTGTAAGGGTAGTTGAATTAGTAGCAAGAACAGCAATGTGGCACCAATAGACAGCTCGAGACAGTCAAGCAGGTGCGACCACATATCTTCTGGTCACCATATTTTGGGCCAAGGAAACTTTTGTACTCCACTGAATACATTTTACTTAAAAATATGCTTTAGGTCAATGTAGGTGATACCATGGTACAAACTTGATGAGTTAAAGGTTGTACAAATCAGAGTTCAAACTTTATATACCAGGATAAGGGTTTGCAGTAATTAAAATATGCTGTTTCTTACGCAGTATTTTTGTGATCCAGGGATACAGCATTCGGTTTGCCTCTCACAGGCAGGGGATCGAGCCTCAGGCAGATCTACTGGAACTTGTTCAGAGATATATGATTTTATATTTATTTTCAGAGGTGAGGATGCAGTGGATGTGTCCGTGACTGATGGTACACGTTTCCTCAACTATAATATGCCTGCCAAATCCATTCAGACCATTCTGAACTAGTGAAGGAGTGTTGGGGAAAAGCCACGAGGTGCTGACCATGAAGAGAGTAGGCGTTAGTAGTACAAAGGATTACATAGAAATTCAAACAGCAACATACCATTAGATCTAAACTAAGCTGTCTGTGTATTGAAAGCTTATGGTAATACAATGTAAGACGAGGTTTGAAGTAAAATAGTTGTCAATTCTGTTTTAAATTGTATACCCAGTGTTGCACTTAATTATATAATTTTGTTAGGTGTTCCGCATGTTTACTATTCAATTAAAGAAAAGTATTTTGCTTCTTTTAATTAAAAATGTTTGCCTGTAACTTTAAAGCCATTGTTTCGACTGATTAAGCTATGTAAATCAATGTATTTTTCTGGAACGAAATTATCATCCCTTTAATGATTGTAATTAACTGTATTAATTTGCCTTTCATTATTCTTTTCTGCAATTTCAAGACAGAATACATATAACGTTTTACAAGTTTTGCATTTTCAATCGAAACGTCATCTACTCTTCATGATGTTTCTCTACATAATTGTGAAACTCGGCAAAATCCTTTCACAAAGGAAGACATGTCCAGCGTTCGTCTACTAGTATCCTGGCTTGAGGTAACCCCCACTGTCTCTGCCTGAGGTCTTCTCGATGGGTTTGTTCCTATGAATTAACTAGCTCCTCACAGGAACCCAGAGAAACAAGTGAAGCTGCAGATGAAACTCTTAGTGAAGCTGTAATAAACATTGAATCTGAACCAGAAAATGATAAAGCTAAAGCTGCAGCAGCAGCCGAAGCTGTAATTAAAGCTGAGGCTAAGCAAGAAGCCTTAAGCAACACAAGTAATGGTCATAATTACTCACACCAGCTTCTAGAGCAAGTGCTAACAATAAGAAGACTGTTATAAACCTTGTACACCAATTACTAGATTTATCTCCACCAGAACAATCAGTTGACTCTTTACAAGCCTTTAGTTTTCAGCTTGAGTCACTGTTAAATTCCTTCAGTAAAGAGGTGGATCACCCAACTGCTGAGTTGATGACTAAAATTATCATCCAGAGAAAATTGTCTGGTGACACACTCAATAAATTATATGTATACCAGAATGGTAATGTCCTGTCAATGCAGGATATATTTTCAGGTTTGCGCAATATAAGCAATCATTCAGCAAACCAGGCACTTAATGCCTCTTCTGAATGCACCGAAACTGTTCCCACATCAGCTTCCTTACCTGGAACTCCTAAAGTGACACTGTCGCTAGGTAATAAGGGTACTAATAATCGATGTAATAACAATAAGTTAAACACTGATTCATCAGTAAGGCCCAAGAGCCCCACAGGTGCTCCTAAGAGACCTAATAGTCCAAAGAGCACGCCCAAGAGCCCAGTAATTGCTCCCCAGAGTACACCAAGTACTCACAAGAGAATAAATAACAAGCAAATGCAAGCAGCAAAACCATCACAACCTGCAGTTGCTGTTTTACCCAAACCGGTAACCCCTAAACGAGCTGTAGGATGGGGAATATGCTTGTTTTGCAATCAAAAACATTCTCTGTACAAATGTACTAATTACCCTAATAGAGACACAAGAGTCAGACGACTCAAACAGTTACACAAATGTACTAGGTGTCTCAAATCACATAATGTTAATAGCTGTGACACCCCACTGAACACCTGCAATAGGTGTAGAAGGGGCAAGCATCATGCTGCACTGTGCAAATTTGTCAAGACAAATTATGTCAATCCTAGAATAGGAGGTAGAGAATCTACACCAGTACAGTACTGCAAGGTGCGAGATGTGTACAGCGTAATTTCACCAGCATCTCAAGTGGATGCAGCTTTGCCCACTGCCCATCTTCAAGTAAAGAACAAAGGAGCCAAGATCACCACTCGTGGATTATTTGATCAAGGATCCCAGAGAACTTTCATTACTCAGAAAGCAGCAGAGGCACTCAATTTACAACCAATCAGACAGATAAAATTAAACCTGTCAGGGTTCATGATAAATCGAGGACCCCAAGAATACTCAGTAGTTCAACCGCTTGTACGACTAGGTAGTCATGTCAAGGCTATCCAAGCCATTGTTGTAGATCAAATACCTTTTGACCTAAATATTAAGGGTCTGGGGTACACAGCCCACTTCCTGCAGGAACGTGAAATTAATTTGACTGACAACAAGTTAACGTCTGACCGCCTTAACAATGGAAATGTACTAGTAGGAGCAGACTACAATTACCAGTTTATAACTGGACATGTTAAACGATTGGCCATGAATATGCTCCAATCTGCAGGTGGCTACTTACTTACCGGTAAAGTTCTGAATGAGAACAAGCCTAGGCCTGCCAACAATAATAAATTAGTCAGCAGTAAATCAATTCTCCAGCAGCCAGCTAAAATGAGAAACACAGCTGAGTAATAAACCCAGATTGAATGTAGTACAATTATTATTCGCCGAGATGTTTCATAGCTCTCAGTGGAAAACCAGTGGTCCGTACCTAAATAAGTACAAGTCACAGCGACCAAGCCATTGAATCCACTGCAGACCTAGAATTCTTCTCGACAAGTAATAATTGACCACACTCAGTCTCCCTAGATAATTAATAATGTTAGGCTAGAGAATCTAGCATTTCCTAGGTAATCAATTATATTAGGCTAGAGAATCTAGCACCCAATGCACCTAGCATTTCCTGAATTTAGCAATACTATGAAGTCATCAAGCAACTTCTATAATTGGGCAAAAGCGGGGGGCCTATAAGCGGCTGGGGCCGCTTATAGGCCCCCAAAAAAGCAAAAGCGGCTGGGGCCGCTTTTGCTGATCTTGTTCATCCTGGGAGATGGAATGTTGGGCGGATAATGTACTGATACATACAGTCATTTTGTTGAGAGCTTCCTCTTGTTTTTTTTTTATGGTTCAATAAAAAATATAAATATTTATTCTTCAGCTGCACGAAAGACCTTAACAATACACTTACCATCGCATCATTTTTGTCCCGAAATAAAGGGGCTGGATTCAGGAAGGTACTTACGAAGGTTTTTCCTCTTAGCTAAGAGCGTTTTCCGTCTTAGCGCCTTCGTGGCGGCTACGTCCGTATTCAATTTACTACCCTAAGTGGAAAAATCTTCGTAAGTTCATTCCGGGATTTAAGTGTGGTTTCAACCACTCGTAGCTTTACGTAAACTGGATATAAGTCATTTTTTCTCTACTACATAACACTGGGATCGATTTATGATATTGGAACATGACCAAAATATTATAGCTGGTGAATCTAGTGGAGAGGAGTCCTTCGTGTTAGTTATATATGCATTCTCTGCTTGAAACTTGAAGTAAATATGTGTTTGATGATAGTAGAATTAGTTTTATAATAGCAAGATATTATACCAGTAGTTATTAAGTAAATAAACACTGGTGAACATGAAATATGAGAGAAGGTGATGAGCCCTGCCTGATGGGATCATTTACTATCACCAAATGCCCCTGTTCACCTAGTAGTAAGGGTGTACCTTAGCTATACATACCCATTTCTAATTTATTTAGTTTGGTTTTATTTTGAAATTAAATCTGGGTGAGACATAAAATAAAAATATGCTGCACAAATGATGTTAGGTAAGGAAAAGGGTAAAAATGTCAAAAACTTTATTCATTGAATACTTAAAGCTATAATTATGACTATATAGACTACTAAAAAAGAGAGAGGGAAGTAGGGGTCCAAGACCTCTTCCTGTTATACAATTTGGGTGTGGAACAAGTAATTATCAAAAGAAGGCACCATGCCGGGAAGGCTATGTAGCAGTAAGGCAGTGAGGTGAGGCAGCTACTTATTTGAGAAATGCTTATTTTATTTACCTTATAAGCTGAGGCAACTTATTTTATTTGAGGAATACTCAGCTGATTCCTCTACATTTAGCATGGAACAAATTTGTGTCCAAGACCTCTTCCTGTTACTCAATTTGGCTGTGTGTAACCAAACTAGAAGTGCTCTACAAATCAAGGGACCCAGAATGTGGAATGACCTCCCGAATCATGTCAAAGGCTGTACCTCTCTCAACCAGTTTAAGAGTTAAACCAAGTACTGCCTAATTAACTCCATGTAACCTAACTTACCTCCTAAATGTCAACCCATGTCTTGCTATTTTTTAAACAACGCTGTTCAACAACATGTGCAATTGCTGATTTATGCTATGTTAACCCCCTTTTTGTATTTTTTATTCCTTCTTTCAACACAATTTATACCTAATCTCGATTGCTATTAAGTTTTAGTCTGTGTTTTTTTCCCCCCACACCTTGCCCGAAATGCTATGAGTATTAGTGGCTTTAGGTATTGTATGTACTAGCTCTGCCTATATATCCAACATTATGTTTGTAAATCAACTGTATGTACTTTTCCTGAATAAAATGTATTTATTATTTATTTTTTAATCAGTAAGTATTAAAAGAAGGCACCAAGCTGGGAAGGCTATGTAGCACCATTGTGTGTAACAATAAACCAAATTTTTTTTAACAAATAATGCACCTGTATGGGAAAACAAATCCTGTCAGCTGTAAAAATATTGATGCAGTTATTTAAATGAAAAATATAATGAAAGAAATATTACTGGTTTATTTTTATCCTATCTTTTTGTACTGTACAGTATATCCAAGGAAGTGAAAAATTAAGACATAATGCACAATTTATTGAATGATTAGCATGGATTAGCAGTTCAAAAGAAATATGACTTGTATTACATATCAACATGAGATCTTAATGATCCATGGCCAACATGATTTAATAAGGATAATACAGTACTGTATTTGTAATAATACAAACTATAATTTAAAATCTTTATTACTGATTTTTTTTATTAAGAAGATGAGGTATACACAGCAATGTGCTGCTACCCTATTCTATATGGAATATTACACAGTGTAGATAAAAAACTAGCTATAAGTTTATCTAATACTCCCATCTCACAGGATGGTTAGACATACTGTACATGGAATCAATTTAGAAAATACCAGCCTCAATACAAAAAACAAATCAACTCTGACTAAACAACTCTAAGCAATTTTCACAAGAGGTAAGCACTGAATCATGGAAACATTATATTATAATTACTCTTACCAGTTTCTACAAAACTCCTCTCAAACAATGTATTTTTAAACATGTTTAGGTATACACAGCAATGTGCTGCTTCCCTATTCTGTATAAAGGACCACACAGTGTAGATCAAAAACCAGCTACAAGCTCACCCAACATCCTCACCTCACAGGATGGCCAGTTATACATGGAATTAGGAGAGAACAAAATACTTAATGCTGATCTATTAGCCTCCACTGGCAAAATCTGGGTGCAGCACAAGAATATCTTCCAATATTCCTGAGTGTATGAAGTAAATACAGAGCTCAAAGTACCTCATACCATTTGGTATGAAGTCACTGATAACAGGACAATCA